ATCTTAGCTGTAGAGGGCAGTGTCACTGGCCCTCATATGTGGGATCCGAACCGGGGCCCTCTGGCGTCCCAAGCCAGTTCTTATCCATCGTGCCACTCAGCCGGCCCTCCCCCTTCTCTTTTTCTCCCCGGCTTTCCTTATGTCAGCTTCCGTCTGCCATCGTGGGAGAGAGAGAGGCTTGGTTCACTTTTGCAAAAGTGATCTAAAGTTATTGAAAAAGAAACTGGAAAGCTCACTGTACCAGAAATTCAGTTCAACGGTGGCCCCATTCGCTTCCTTTTATGGCCAGCATTGTACATTTCAGTCCTGACTTGGGGAGAGCTGAGAGTGCGGTTGGCATCTGAGTTGCCTGACAAATGAGTAAAGAAATGAAATAATGTCATCAGTTATAATTGTACCACCATGAAAAAGGGAAAAGTATTGCTAAAACATCCTTAGCCTTCAGACAACTTATCTCTTTTCTTAAATGTTTGTTATTCAAATGAACAAAATAAAAAAGTTGGTGAATAGGTTTGTGCTATATACAGGAAATTTTCGTACATCATGGCTATTTCCTTAATAATATTTGAATGCATAAGGATTTTTGAAAAGGCTTCTAACCATTGCTCAGGGCAAGCCTGAACGTGCTACCTGTTGAAATACTATAAGGTTTTAGTTTGGAAGAAAAGCTAGCAAGGTTTCATTAGTATTGTGTGCTGTGTGTTAAGGTTGTAGGAACATGTATGAACCTGCAGTTGTTGGTATCTTCCCCTTAATATATAGAGAATTTATTTTTTTTTCCAGGGACTTTTTTATTGTGGTAAAATACACGTAAAATTTACTATTTTAATCTTTCTAAAGTACATTTTTGCACATTGTTGTGCAACCAACTATTCACTCCAGAACTTTTTCATCATCCCAAACTGAAATTCTGCACTCATTAATCAATAACTTTCCATCCCCCTACCCCCACCCATCGACCCCTGGTAACCACTGTTCTTCTCCTTTCTTATATAAGTGGAATCATACAATATTTGTCCTTTTGTCTGGCTTATTTCACCTTAGGGAATTTGATTTTATTTGTACTTTTCTAACAGGTTGCTTTAGAGAATGGTAATCATCAAAACTTAAAATTGTCCAAAGCCCTGAGTCTGGAATTCTGTATCTAAAAGTGTTTCAGTCCTTGTTAAACCAAGTGCCTAAAGTGATGCTTTATTTTGAGCAAGGGCGCCATGTTCAATTTTTTTTTTTTTTGCTGTTGTTAAATATTCCTATTATAAGAAAGTTTCTCATGCATAAAATCTTAAATTTTCTTAAAAATTCCACTTTTTTGTTGTTGCTGCTGTTCTGGTTGTTTTGGGGATCATTACCAGTATTATTGGCTTCCAGGCTCTCAGCTGGGCTAGGGAGGTTTTTTAGGCTTCCAGAATATTGGCATCAAGCTTAGTGATGTGTGAATGGCCCATAGGAAGTGCTAGTATTAACATGACATAGTTCTTTAATGCTTAGCCCTCAACTCTGTAATCCCACTTCCACCCCCAGAAGCATCCTGGGGTCCTCTTCTGGAATCCAATTAGAGCTCCTAAGGGAGGAGGACCCCAGAAAGAGAAAGAGAATGTGTTGCTGGGCACAAATGTGATATTTGAATATCAATTAAGTATTACAGTACTAAATTTACCATTTCATAGCCAAGAAATTCCCCATGCATTGTCTAGATGTCTTTGGGATTGCTCCTTTCGGTTTCCCCTAAAATGGCCTGCTACAGTGGAAGGGCTGTGCCACACTGCTTGCTAGGCTTGGGAGATGTTGAGGTGTGGACGGCAACCACAGTGAAACAATGCACCCGTGTTGGCTAGTGGCTTTTGTTTGCACGTCCCCGTTTACCTATTCATAGTCATGGACCAGTTCCTCTGTGTGTGGTGTATTGTGAAGCACCTCATTACACCACAGATTAGGAAGAGCAGGATAATGCCTGACTTTCTGGACTGTCCGTCTTTCACTAAAAGGCATAGTGTGTGTCAGGATGACTGGGGCACCGCTGGACCCACGTGTGGCCGATTCCCGGGTCTGCCCTGTGCTTTGTAAGCTGCAAAGTGTGTTCATCTGAAACAGCTAATCCCGCATGACCTCTCTCCTGCATTTTATCAGAACCTACACGCAGCTTTCCAAGGAACTCACTGAAGGAGTTCGTTTGTATCTTGTTCTTGCACATCCTGTGTCATGAAAAATGTGTTCTTAAAAAAAAAAAAAATGAAAGAAAGAGAAGGGAGGGAAAAAAGGTTGCCATCCAGTGGAGGAAGGAGTAATTCCCAGCTTCATTCAGGAAAAACGCAAGCTGAAATAATGCTTAACTATTTTAACTCGGCTGGGGATTTTTATCCCCCGAAGGGTTTTTTTAGGGACATCCGGAGCCAAATGGGTGCAGTACGCCTTTAAGGAAAGAAGCGCCTCACCAAACTTCGCTGTAGTTGTAGCTCACCGTTTGCGTAGGGAAGGAAAGTGTTAATTTCTTATTTGTACACTTTTTTTCCCCCCCGACTTCCTTCCTATTCACTTCATTAAATCTAGAGGCAGTTCAGCATGGGAGCCGTCTGTATGTTGAATTAGGGCTCGCACTCTTGCGCAACACGTCACCAGTCGGAAACTGGGGGTTTGCTTCTGTGATTTATTTCATTATTGTGCTGGTAAAAGGTTTGGGAGGGAATTCTTTTTGGGGTAGTACTTTAGCATTGTGTAGCAAGTTTTTTTTTGTTTTTTGTGGGGGTTTTTTTTGTGCCCACCCCCCAGCACTGAGTGTAGTCAGTTGAGCCAGTTTTAATAAGTAATTTAAAAAAAAAATAAAAACAGTTTTAAATGTCCATGAATAATTTTACTTACATGCAGGAGTAATCTTACTCTACTCTTTAAGTGCGAAAAGCACTAGGAAATATTTAGTGAATTGATTTCCATTTGCAAAAGACCCTTACTTAGAAATCCCTGAACATAAAGCCCTGCATATGGATGTGTTTGGAGTCTTTGGGGAGGAGGGAGGATGTTTTGTAGCTCTCTGCATTCCTGCATAAAACCTTAATTTAAGGGGCATAATGGTCAGTACTTTGTGTGTTTCCGTGTGATTCCAAAACCTAAATTTAATAAGAATCTGCACGTATTAGCAGTTGTAATAAAAATTGTTTTTACTAGTTCTTTTTGCAATTTAATTTGTTTTCGCTTCTTAGCTACTTAGATTTAGAGATTTAAAAGTCCAAATATCACAAGCTTATGCTTTGTTCCTTTTTTGCAAAGTTAAGGGGGGGGCGAGAGTAGAAATATCTTTTTCACAACTTCCCCCTCTTCATTTATCCCACTGAAAAGAAAAACAATGAAAATTTTTACAGCATGAAACTGAAAGTGAAGTATCATAGTTGTTCGGGATTTTCTTTAAAGAGCAGAATAACATATTTTATTAAAATATTTGCATTTGAGAACATGCACATTGTTTTTACTGACATACATTTAATGAAAAAAAATTATTTTATTAAAAAAAAAAGTCATCTTAGACTGCTCCAAAGTCATGCAGCCTATTTTTTAAAAAGCTCTAAAATGAGGTTTAAAATACCAAAAAAAAGCATACCTTATTTTAATTTTTTGAAATAAATTTGAATATTAATTTGTTTTTTGTATTGCTTAATTGTTAAAATGCGAGTAAGAATCAGAAACCGCCTGAGCTAAAAATCTCTAATTCTGCTGCCTGGAATAATAAGAAGGAAAAAAAAAATATGATAAGTAGTTGTCAATATTAAAACAGGCTGAAGGAGGAAGGCTTCGGGCCTTGTAGTAGGTAGAATGAAACAGCAGATTTGAGTATCCACAATCCTTTCAGTATTAAATTTTCAGTAAAATAAAATTACTTGTATATGAAAACATAGCCTTTCCCCAGCTCTCTTTTTTTTCCTGATCAGCTGATGAAGAGACTAGCAGCTCGCTGCTTTGCTGGCTTGTTAATTTTATCCCCACTAACTGTGATTTCCGATAGCCGGCCTGCTGATAGTGGTAAGGTAAATATCCTTTTTCGTTGCCGTCTTGAAGATTCAGTAGAACTACATCCCAGGCATGTGTAGGTGTGTAACACATCAAAAGCCGGTGTTCTCCGTATTTCTGTGTGCAACTGGGTGCTTGAGGAGAGCAATACCATTAACTGTTGACAGCCTTGCATGCTGTATTTATTATTAGCATGTTCAGCCTCCAAGATTTGCGGGGACAATTTCCTTTTCTTAATCTTCGTTTAGCTGCACGGTGTTTAGCTGTATAGTGGGTGTCCTGCTTTTAGGCAAATGAATATTAATGAAATAATGTGAAGCTTTTTTTTTTTTTTTTCCTTTTTCCTCATAACTCATCAGATCTCGCCTTCTTCATAGTGGTTATCTGAACATTGTAGGATCGTGATGGAAATTGTCTTTTGATTATTAAGGCCTAGGCTCAGACTGTCCCTTAGGATTCTGTTCTGTCTGTGTGCATGTTGCTTCTATGGGTTTGCACATTGGAAGATGCATAGAAAACATTTTTTTTTTTAATCCCACTGGCATTTTTAGCATGCCAGGTTGTTTTGTGTTCTGCACCAGGTTTTCTTCACAAAACCTTTCTTTTTCAGGAGGCATTGTACACAAGTGAAAGAAATTATGTCTGAGCTGTAATCACTCTTTATATTGATTGTTATACTCACATGATCATAAATATTAGCCATGTTTGGTGCTGTGGAGAAATGAAGGTAATTGCCTTATGATTAGAGCTCTTTCAGCTACGAGAAAGGATTGATTAGCATTTGCATACTGGAGGCAATATTGAGAGGCAGGAGGAACAAATAACAACATCAGTTATTTTGTGTGAGAAAGCAATCTTGAAATATAATTTAAAGGTTTTAAAAAAATATTTTTCTTTCCATGGTCAGATTTTCTTTTATCTGTTATGGTTTCTTCTTTGCAGTTTTTCTTTTTTGTTTCCCCCCCCTTCGTTTTTCTTAAGTTTTGAGGTTTACCAGGAAAAAAAAAAGTTTAAACTTCTGGGTCTGTCACATGGATCTTTTAGCCTTATGAACAGGTTTCTTTTATACCTGGTTGTTTTTATAGCTATTTTATTATCTCTCTGCATTAGTGCTGCTGGCTGTGGTTTAAAGCAAGCGTTTGCAGGTAATTGGAAAAAAGTGTTTGTTGTTTGTGAGTGTGTGTGTTCTTTATCAGATGATTTAAGTGCCTTTACAAAGGAATTTGGCTTTGTACCTCTCCGTTTCCTTGTTTACTAATTGCTACATTAGAACAAAATCTGGATGCAATTTTGATTTATGTTGTGAATCATGACTAAATTGATGTAAAATCTTAAAGAAGAATGGTCAATGCTTTACATGATTTTAAGGATGTATTCTTAGGGAAATTTTTTTCTTCACTCACTTTTTAAAATTTTTTTTCGGCTTTATCTTTTCCCCCCTTACAGTAATGAAATAGTTAAGGTCTTTTTCTTATATGGAGCCAAAATGTTATTTAGATTCAGTTATCTTTAAACACATAAATGTATAGATCTTCTCATATTTGTCATATTCTTTATTAATGTTTCTGGCCTTCATCATATTTTACTCATGAAATAGACTTGGGCTAAAGATGCATTTATCCAATATGGTGGTCTTCCCTTTTTCTTCTTACTCCCCTGATTACTGTTAACTTTTATTTATTTTTTTGTTTGTTTCATTTATATTAATTATTCCAATTGTGTATATGTAAATATATATTTGTTATTCTCTTGTCTTGAATTTTTCTCCACTCCCTATTAACAGGCCATTGAAGACGGCAATTTGGAAGAAATGGAAGAGGAAGTACGGCTTAAGAAGCGAAAAAGACGAAGAAATGTGGATAAAGATCCTGCAAAAGAAGATGTGGAAAAAGCTAAGAAGAGAAGAGGCCGCCCTCCTGCTGAGAAACTATCACCAAATCCCCCGAAACTGACAAAGCAGATGAATGCCATCATTGATACTGTGATAAACTACAAAGACAGGTGAGTGTTTCACCCCTTCCCCATGATCCTCTTCACCAAGACCATAGTGAGACTACCTCAAGAGCAGGGTGTACCAAGGTGTACACTGAGGTCTTAAGTTCTTTCTACTTTTTGTTTCATGGCTTTTACTCCAAAGATACCAGTTACCTTGTGCTATCTTCAAAATGGCCACTCCTGCTATTTTGTATGATGTTTACCTTGTAGTATTTAAGATACTTGGAAATACAATTTTAGATTACAGCTTTTTTTTTTTTTTAATCTAAACTGGAGAAGGATTCTTAAGGATCTCTGAAATACCATCATTAATGTGGAAGGATTGGAATGATAGAGTGAAATTATACTTTGGGTTTGAGTTGTTAGAGAAAGAAGAGTCCTAGCATATTTAAAGTTAATATTTCATGTTAAGGCTCTGTTTACAACCAAACAAACACTTCAACAAAAATACTGTTCCTTCTTTCCTTCCAACGCACTTGAGTTTCTGAGCACTTGTTTGAGCAATCTTCTACTTCCTAATACTATATTGACTGCACGGTATTTCAGCAAATCTGCCTCTTTTTCATGGAACTTTTGAATGTGAACTTGGAGAAATCTGTAGTGGACACTAACCACAGACCATTTTAAACAGGGAACAATTATTTGAAAACCAAAGTAAAGGTGTTTTAGGGTGTTTGGCAGCCCTATACAGTAGATAAACTAGTTATGCTACATTTTTTAGTTGATTTGGTGTCCACTTGATAATCATGTGATATGGTTTTAATGGGAAGATCACATCTCATTCTGGTTGAAAAATTGATAGGAAACAAAACAGACATTTTATTTCTCTAAATTGCATAGAAGTAGTAAACATTTTTTAGTTACCTTTTTTTTTTTTTTTTTTTTTTTTTTACGAGTGTTGCTCTGTATACCTGGAAGTGTTTAACACATATAACGAAGTTGTGATTTTAGGTTTTCATTGTGACTGGTGCATGTGTTATACCAGGAAGGAAACCTCAGTGGAAAGATAAGTAGTATAAAAAGCAAGAAACTTTCAACCATGTGGTTTTATTGTATTGTTAAGTCTTTATTACATGATCTGTAAGGAGTCTTCAGAAAGAGTGACAAATGGGTGGGAGGAGAAGTGTGTGAAAGGGTCAGAATTTCTTGCCCCTCTTTGCCTACCAGGTTTCTTAGGTCTCCTGCTTACTATTTTTACTATTTTCCTTTTTTTAAAAAAAGTGTATCCCCCTTCAGAATTCTGAAGTGGCCACAAAGAACAGCCCCATTATTTTGGGTTTGGATGAGCTGTTCATTGACACAGGGGAGTGACAGCAATACAGGAAGGAAAATTTGGCCACAAGTCTGTTCTTTGACCAGGGTGAACACGCAAACTTCCTTGGAAACCAGGAATCAGTAACTCTTTCTGTCATGTTTCTGCTTACCCCCAGCTGGACTGGTAGATTTGCCGCAGGCGAAAACAGTTTCCATCCAGGAAGCCAGCTTGGACAATTATGCCTTATTTTATCAGCCCCTGGTGTAAAGGAAAAAATAAGCAGAGAGTATCACTCTGCATATACCTCTAACTCTTTTGCTATTGTCTCAGGAGAGCGAAATGTCTGTTTCTTTGACCAGGTGTGCCTTGTTACTTGATAGGAATTTTGTTCATTACCTGATGAGTGAGTCTAGGGCTGCTGTAGCACTGAGAAGAGTCAAGACAGCCCTTGGAGGCATAGAAGCGAGGCCTTTTATTCCAGGCGATGGCCATCTCGTCCTTTAATGGCATAAAAGAGGTCACCAGTGCCAGTAGATTGGTTTATCTCATCTTTCATGTAGTTTTAATTTTTTTTTTTAAAGCAAACACATAGAAGTAGAGATATTTTTTTATAAAACTGCAGAGGTTTTTTAAATACCTGTTTTTGTGAAGCCTAAATATCTAGCAGCACTCTACCCAACTTTCCCAAAGGTAACAGTCGTTCCTGTCATGCTCTAGTTTGCCACAATCCCCATCACCCACGATCATTCCTCTAGGATGGAGTGTCAGTTACCATTGATCATGCTTTTCACACCTGGCCCGCTTCACCCGTTGATAATGGCTCTATAGTCTTGAGTTTGGGGCTTACATGGCTATGAACTGACCACTTTTCTAGAAACCACCCAACATACAGAGTAGGAGACAGTTAGGTCCCTTAAGCCTCAGCTAAGCATAGCACAGTAGTCTAGAGCACAAGCTCTGTCTCGATTTGACTACCTGTGTTTGAGTCTTAACTCTAGCATTTCCTCTCAGGGGTGGGGGGGTGGGGGAGTTGGACAATTTACTTACCCTTTCAGATCCTCAGTTTCCTCATCCACAAAATGGAATAATTACTGCACCTGCCTCTAAAGGCGTTATAAGGATTTCATGAGTTAATACAACCCAAGCTCTTTGAATAGTTTAATTATTAATAATCAGCCTTTCAGACTATTTATAGCTAATCAGGTGGGTGAATGGAGCTCTCAGCATTATAAAGTAAGCATCCTTGCTGATAGGGTTTCCATCTTTTTATTTCCAGAACCAGAAAACGCATTTTCCCTGGGACTGATTATTGAGCAGGTCTTTAGTTGGACTGTACTGAAAGGATATTTAAATATTTCAGCATGCAGACGTTGAGCAGTATTTCCCCGCAGACGTTGAGCAGTATTTCCCCCCCTTCCTCTGGTTTTATTTATTTATTTTAAGTTTCCTTTGAAAAGCACCCTCATAAGGCCTATTCTATTAGCTCCCACATTTAGATACAGTCTAAGGAGTATGCACTCAATTTCCCACCGATGCATGTTTCATGTATATTTCATGTTAGTAATCCTCTAGAAAAAGCACTTATTCTATTTATATTTTTTATTTCTCTTACCAAACTTGGTACTCAAGTAGGAGGCACTCAACTTAGGAGGGCCTTAAAATTAGATATGTTATCATATTTTTGGTTGGTTTTAGAAAATGCTGCTGGGAAATGTACCTCTCCATGTGTTCAGATTTTTGCACCATTAAAGTCAGCTACTAATATAGTAACTCAACCTGCCTGTGAAAGAAATGCCACCTGTTCTAACCTCCCTCCTATCACCTCAGTCAAGTGTTAGGACTCTGACAGTGGTGCAGATTATCAGTGCGTTCAGTAAGACCTGCCATCTATACTTAACTGATATATAAGAATTAATTAGCTCTCATGAGACAGTTTTTTCAAAGTTCTTGAATGATTCTGGGACAGATATATCTTTATTTTTTATAAAGCACTAGGATAATGTAAGCGTCCGTTTATTGCCTTTGTTTTCAGTGCCAGGCCTCATTTTGTTTAAAGGAGGATGCTTTGTAAAATGTCACCCCAAAGAACCAATAATTGTGTGCGATTTATAAATGTGAAATCTTTCTGCAGTAATTGCTATTAGAGGTCGTACTGGTCTGCTGCTACTCGTTCCCACCGTTTTATTTCCCCAAGTAGAGAACTTTATGTCAAGTAGAATTAGAAGGCTTTGTTTTGACTTGTTAAGCATGCTTTGTTTTCTGCTTATGTAGAAGGCTTTTAAAATACTATTCCCAGTTTATGAGCTATTTAACCTAAGACTCTCTTTGAAAAGGGACTCATCCTTATTTGCATCTGTACCCTTTTAAATTGTCCCTGGGATGAGATATAGAATAAGATGGTGAAGAGTAGGGTCTGGTGGACCTATTCCAAGTTTAGAGACATGACTTACAGTTACTTGAATAAAGAGAGAGATTCCTCAGGGGACTCTTAATGTTAGAAGGAGTGTTAGTTCTACCTGGTCCAACTTCCCACAACCCAGTTATGTGCCTCAAACCTCTGGCAGACCGTCATCCAGCCTCTGTGTGGACATCCCCAGCGTGAGCTCGCTGTGTTGGGAGTCGGTTCGCAATACCAAATGACACCTCTAAACACAACGGTCATTTCCTAATATTAAGACAGATTCAGCCCTCTGACTTCTAGCTATTTGCCCTGCTTAGACCTCCAGAGTGAAGCTGTTCTCAATCTAAGGAATGTCCTGTAAAACATTTGTAAATGCATTCACCTCAGGACATTCTCCTTCAGGTTGAAGCACCTTCCTTTGCTATCGGAGCGATACCTAAAGTTTCACCATCCAGGTTCCCCTTCCTTAGGCACATTGTCCTTTCTTAGCACCCCATTTAAAACATGGCACCCAGAAGTCCCAAGGCATTCTGAGGGTGAATTGCAGAGTGGTTGGTTAGCTTTCTTATTCTGAAAACCACAATTCTGTTAACGTAATTCAAGAGTGTGTTCATGTCTTCCAGCAACTTTGACACAGAAGTAACTTTAGTTGAACATGTGATTTGTTGGTAAAACTCCCTCCCGCCCNCCCCGCTCCCCCCAAAAAAACCAACAACATGCAGACAGCTCTTTTCTCACTTGAATGCTGCCAAGGTAAGCCTTTAAACTAAGCATTTATTTTATTTTTGAACCTATATCTACTAATTTTATTCTTATCCCTGTGCAATTTCGTTATATTGATTTTTGTTTCACCATTCTAGTCTACTGATATAATTCTGAATTTTTGTGCCTTTTTTAAAAAAAATCATGTTTACTTTCTTGCCTTTCTAAGTTTTTTATGGTCATCCAAAGATTTGCTATAAGGTATTAGAAACTTTTAAAGCGCAGAGGACAGGTCTCTCTATAACATGCCACTGAAAATCCTTCAGGTTGACATGACTTTATTATCCAATAATCCTTGAAGTTGACTAGCCATCTGTGAACTCACGTGACCATGCTATCACGTCACCCACATTTGTCTTATCATTTCTCAAGGTTATCAAAAAAGGCTAAAACCAAGATACACCACATTTTTGGCCTCTCCAGTCTATCAACCTAGAAACCCTGCCGAAAGAATGAAATGAGGTTAGCTTGCCATAGCTTTTTCTAAGAGACCCCCTACTGGTCCTTAATGATGTTATTTATCTTCCCTAAATAGCCCCGTGGCATCTGAATAATTTCTTCTAAGTTTCTACCAAGGGCCTACGTCAA